TTGAAGAAAATTGATTCGTCCATTTTGACAAAGGTATTCATTGGCATCCATTTCAAATGTTCATTCAAAATTTTGCTCTGCATTTTTGAGGAATTTCAATAGCATAATTCTTAATCAATAATAATTAGGAAGATTTCAATCCCTTAAATTATCTAGCACTATGTAAAAAAAAAACAACTTTCAGTCCTTGTCAAAAAAATCAGCCATCATTACTGCTGTGCTACATGTGAAATGGTCAGAAAGTTGGTGTAAAATGAAGCAGGGGAGTAAGACATCAAAGCAGGTTCCCCCAGACCATAAAAATCTTATCTACTCCTCTATCAGCCATTAAAAAGTTAACTACAATGCAAAACCTGCAATTACACAATTCATCATTTAGGCCCTACAGCTAAAAAATATGGTCCGCCAATAGATCATTTATCTTGATAATCAAAATTCTTAAAGCCCTGTAGTTAACATAAATCCCAACACTTTGTGATATCATCTTTGAGACAAAAGGTGGATTTGAACACATATTCTTACACACTCAGATCCAGTTATCTTAACCTTACCTAACAGGAGCTGGGGATTAAGGCCTGTAATTAAAAGATTCTCTTCAAAGACATGTTATCTTCCATATTTTAATCCACTTTCACAGTATCTCCAAGTCATTGAAATATAAAAGAAGGAATACAGTTAATAGATCTGTATTAGGGGAACTAACTCCTGATAACATTAAGCACAGAGAATAAACTAAAGCCTGTTTGAAGAGTTTATCATTCAAGTGTACATATTTGTTTCTTATTTGAATGATTTATTCTCTGTTTTACTTTCTCTAAATACAGGTACTAGGAATATTCTTACAAAGTCTTCTAGATTTTAACAGGACCTTGCTAAGACCTGCATTATGTAAGGAGTTTAAGAACTGAACCTCTCAATGCTTTGTTAGTACACTGGGGCCTACTGCCATCTGCTCTCTCCAATATCTAATACAATCAGGGGATTCTGATGGAGTAATTTCATTGTTCATTCTGTAGACTGAATTCAAACAAATCAAGCAAAAATCTCATAATTTAAGGTTATGAAGTGGTAATTTTTACATAATTTTCTAGTCTATTGGACCAGCTTTTTGCATCATTACACATTTTGAGAGTTAGTGCTTTTTCAAAATTCCACTTCTTAACTAAATAATGAAGCTATGCTCTTGTGCAGGTCTTTATTCAGATGAAAGTAAACAAAAAATGTGAGATTTAATTATTTTGAAAATGTGCAAAAATCAATAAGTTGACACAAAGAGAAAGAACCCTTGGCCAAACAAAGCATGAAGTTTAAATGATCCATCAATGCGAACATCAGTCGCAATGCTACATGACTAATTACCTCAGCTCATGTATCAAAGTCAGGTGTATTTTTGGGGAGGGGGATAAAATAAAATGTAATGGATTGACTTGCAACACAGAAGAAAGAATTCAAAGGAGACAAGCAGGGAACAAGAACCATTACCCTGCATTTATCATAGGAAGAGTGCGAGTGAATGCATTAAGGCCAATAAACATGATAAGTTTCTGATTAATTTCGCTCATTATCATCATTCCATAACGGGGAGGTGGCGATGATAAATTACAGGCTCCCCCCATTCCGTCACATGCCCCCCTTTTGTGCTCCCTCCTTATTGTGTGACTAAACGAATGTCAAGCTTATTGTCCTTATCAAGATAATTACTGAAAGTTATCAGGGGAGCTCTGACACAAGGGGGGCAGGTGAGGCTGACACTGCATCTGCATCAATCTGCCCCTAATTGTTCCCACAAACAGACTGACAAGGAGACATGTGATATCTTCAAGGTAGCATTATATGGTCCCCCCTATATTATTGATTTTTTATATAAACCTTAAATATATATATTATAATTATAAAAACATTTGCCACTGACCCTTGCATCATATTTGAGAGGGTATAAAAAACCCCCACAAATTCTGGTGCATTGTTGAATACTTAAAAGCTGCTTATAACCTTAACTTATCCCATTTAGTAAATTTTAATTAATTGATAAATTCAATTGTCAGTACGCTTGTGCAATTTATTAATTTCAGACTGATGTTTTAATTTCTATATCAGTTGTCTGGGTAGAGCCCAGGGCAATATGCCAGATTTAATGACTTCATTAATAAATTCTGTCATGCTGGTATAGTCTAGTATTGCTTTATCCTTGCTAATATATTGAACTAAATGTAAAATCACCATTCAACTGGGTACCATACATAAATTTTAATAAAAAGCTTCATGTACAAATATACACATGTTATATAAGATAAAGAACTTTAGTTTTAATTGTAAGTAACTATTTTGGCCTAAAAGAAGGAATTGGTCTTCTTTTTTGTTGGATGTACCTCTTTTTCTGAATACGAACAATACTAGATATTTTATTAGCTCTGCTCTGAATAAATAAAATGCTTATTAACCTTATTTTCTGGCCAGAGAAAGGTCCAAGCAAGAATTCCCCTGCTGTCCTTTTTTTGTGTCGGACTGACATGGCATCTTGTGTCAGAATTTTAAGTGAGAGTTTTCGCACCTGAGAACCAGATTATCCAGTTTTTTCTTTAACCGTGACTGTATTGTACCAGGGAGGTTTAGTGTCAGTTATGTGATAGAACTTCACTTTTATAAAGCAGGTTTTCAGATAAGCTCTTAGTCTTTCATTGTAACTTTTTTTTAATTTTGAGGAGTGGTAAATTAATCAAATGAAAGTGTTAAATTTTTGGCGATTTTGTTCTTTTAAGGAGCTTATGAGTTTTGGATTATATTTTCTTCAGATTTATAAAAAATACATTACACAGTGAAGGACAAAGATTTTTTGTTATTTTCAACCTTGTAATTTTACACTCAAAGAAAAAAGTTGTAGTCCCCCCTCACCTATTTTACAAGACGAAATATTAAAGCATACTGGTATTTCATGGCAAAATAAAGTCACATATAATACATGTTAGAGAGGTACTATCTGTAACTATACTCTGGCATGCTAGAAGTTCAAGGCAAGATTTTGACTTGGTACTAAGGTACAATAGGAGGGTAAGGATGTTTACCGAGGCTCTTACTTGTAGGAGTTCTGCAACTCATGACATTTGAATAACATCCTCCCCCCAACAATATTTTAATTTGCAATAGTTTACTTCCATACAGCTTCATGTAAATGCTTTTTAATTTGCAATAGTTCAATAAAATTAGCATTATTTTTTTTAATCAAAAAATTGTGTGAACTTGAACTTTGAACACTGAAATGTGAAAAACATGGAAAAAGAAATTCAGCATTATAATGCTTCGTGTACATTTTTGCAGCCCTCATAATTACAATTAAGCCCAAATAATCCTCTAACAATACAATAGATAATCTCTTAAGCCTCTAAAATAACAAGCAGATCATCTCTTTGTGATTATCTATGATAAGATCTAGACAACATTAAATTTTGTGGAGTAGTCTCCCTTTGATCTGCACTCTCCTGCAGGTCAACTTGTTAAATTTCACATGTTTTGTGTAAAAAACAAGAAAAACATTATGTGATCAAATGAAAACATCTTGAGGTAATAAAATTAAATGAGGAGTGATTATCTTAGACAAATATTTTAAACTGATAATTTATGATCAAAGTTCCTAATAAATTAATAATTTATCATTTAACACATGGATCTAGGTGATATGTTCTTTCCTAATTTTTTTTTTCTTTTCATTATCTTTCAAATGTGTATATCTACAGATGGGACTGAGAACTTTAATGTTCTAACTAGACATAACTAACAGAAAACAACCATCAATACATTCCTAATTCCCAATACATCAACTGGTATAACCAAATCTATTTAAGTGACCATGTTTTAAAGCAAAGATTAATTTATAGCAGTGATTGTTCCATAAACAAGTCAAAGATCTACTCAATGTGCAAACTGTCAATGCCTTAACTGCTATCAAAGCTTCCACAAGCAAATCTGTCACCCATAATAAAAACAGCTATGACAGTTACCTCCCCTTAACACAACACTTAAAATGTTCATATTGTGAAACCTGTCAAAAATATTGATTTAAGCCAAACTCTAAAAACTAAATCAAACTCCTGTAATTCTATCATAAATTTTGCAGGCTGTCCTGTTATGTTTTTGAGCCTATAGGTGTTAGATTAGGCCTGGAACAATGTTATAAGCAGTAACTGATGGATTGTTTAACTGTTTAATAACATGACATTTCTAAAATTGATTGATACCCTTACATTATTTATATTTACAAATGTACATAAACTACTTTCTGTGATCTTCAAATATATTTTTTTCCTTTGCATCGAAGGGTGTAGGGGATGTGAAGGGGGGGGGGGTATTCTATAAAATTAATACATAAATTTTTGCAGTTGCTATCATTATAAGTAACTGTATAATTTTAAAATTTCTATATAAAGAGAAAGAAATATAAGGAGGTTTATCATTAAAACTGTGTTGAAACCCTTACCTTATTTGCTAACACATCATACATGGTTAAATTTATATCACAGAGAATCTCTAAATTACTCAAGCTGCATGACACTACAATGCTAAATTAATTAAGACTTTACTTATTATAGACCCTCCCCCTGCTGCTTAATTAACTATATATATATACTGTTAGGTAAAATCTTCAGGTGTCCTCTAGATGAAACACAGATGGACTGAGGTACAGTTATAAAGGTAACACCATAGAGAGGAATTCTCCAATGGACCCCCCCCCCCCCCTCCACATCAGCCTCATTTTTTCTAGGTCTTTTGATCATGTAGATGTACCTGACTATCATGAGAAGTTTATTATCGATGCTTGAAGCCTTCTTTATTTTGGAAAATGTTCTCTTTTGAAATGCTTGTCAAAAATTGAATACAAATTTCTAATTATTTCTCAAGAGTGAGTTAAACTCTTAATACTAAAGTTTCAAGTTTTATGACACAATTAATTTAAAACCTTTTTTCACTACCTATAAATGTTACATTTATTCAAAATTTAAACTTACGATTTTCATTTGTCTCATTACTATCCATTGTACATTTGCAGCTTGGGACCAACATTGCTCTGAACAGACACTCAGAAATGAATTTGATTCTGTAACATCACAACCAAAGTCACGACTTCACAGGGGTCTGAAGCTTCGTCAGGGATGATTTCATTAAAGTAGCAGATCATTCAATGATTAATTCTTAGATAGATAATTCGCTTTGATTGCTACATGACCAGATTGTCCTTGGTTCCTCTAATTTAATTGGTTACTTATCAGCATCACAGTTCAGTGTTACTTTCACGCCTCCTCCTGACTGTTGCAGAAAATTAGTTCCAAATGGCCTTAGATACCATCAATTTGGCACAGAGAGAGTCCAAAGAGTCAAAATTCACTTCTTTCTAAATGCACATGAGCTCTCTCTGATCATGAAGGGAATAAACACTGTCTAGACTTAACCCGAGTATTAAAAGTGATTAACTGATTAGTATACTGCTTAATTACTATATTTTTCAGTGTTGACAACTCAAGTTCTCTTCACCCTCTACTATCAGATAGGGATTACAATTGAATTTAGGTAGCATTGTTTATGGCAGTCAAGGTCACATGACACTATCACCTGTCTCTTTAGGTGTGTCATGCATGAGTGATTTCAGGGGAGCAATGAAGAAAAATGGAATTTCATGGAAATAAAATCCCTGTATTGACAAAAATCAATAATTCTAGAAATAGAAATTAAGAGTTGAAAATTTTGTCAGCCATTACAGCAGATGTTTAATACAGATAAAGAATAGCCCCCACAGAATATAAAATTTCAAGATGAAATATGAATACTCAGTAATTTTCTAATACAATGGACATCTATCAATCAAATTTGTCTGAAACTCTTTTGTATTTTTATAAATCTTTTACTTTTTTATCCAATTGGCTTTAAATTTTGTTTGTTGTATTGTGGATACAATTCACTAGAATGAGATGTGTGTTTGATAATTTAATTAATTCTGTATTTTTTTTTTTAAAATGTAGAGATCCTGGTCTAATTTCTAAGTTCCAAGAATACACTAAAATAGAGGATGGGGTGGAAGGTTACTTAAAATAACACATTGCATTGAATATTATTCTTCTGAACAATTTTAAATATTTTTCTTGGAAGTTGATTGATATTCATTGCTGATATTCTCAAAAACAAAAATAATTCTGTTTATGTTTTGTAATAATGAAACTTAAAGAGTATTAGTTTTAGAAATGATATTTTGTAACTTCAAATCCCCCCCCCCCCTTTTTGAAAAAAAATATTTGATGTACATGTTTTTCTTGTTTTTGACTTTACTGTAATATCTAAATGTATTTTTTCTTAATTAAAGTATAGAGTATATTTCACTGAATACAATAAATTTATTTTATATGTGTAATTAAACATCATAACACTTGTTTCCTTGTTTAGATCAAGTTACCATGCATAAAAACTTGTGTCAAACATCAATTCTGCCATTCAGTTCAATAAATCTTTCACATTTTTATCAAATTTGTTGACATTCAAATAAAATTTCATTAAATTCTTTCTTCCAGTAGAAACTCATCTGTAGAACAGATTGTTTTATTTCCATTTTATGTTCAAAAAATTGGTGGTGGCTTGATTATCTGCAGTGACATAACTAGAGGACAGAATTTTATGACTACCGAGTTTTAACTCATTTGTTCTGGCCTGACCCTAAGGATGCAAAAATCTGGGATTTTATTTTCAGCCAAATAAAATAAACTTTTTGTCATTTATTGCACAATTAAATTATTTTTATTGTAAGTTTACAACCACTGACATACTTTTCTATTAAATTCCTCAGACAAATTACAGGAGATTTAGACTTCTTGGACATTAAAATTAAGGCGGCTGACTTAGACAGGAAGTTTTAAATGGGTTACTATACTGTCATGAAAAGGAAGCGAATGTTTGATCACAGAAAAGAGCACAATAAATCCAAAATGAAACTCAAACCAGGAATAAAACCAGTGCAATTGTATTCATTCCTCAAACTATTGATTCTATTGAATTATAAAATATTTTATGAGAACTTCCACTGTACTTTTAACTTCTTTTACATTATAAAATCAGCAAGCAAAACAAATGGTAGCTACTTTTGAGAAAATCTCCTTAAATGTTTAGTGAAAATTTAAACTAAAAAAATCAGAAGCTCCAGGTTTTTAACAAATTAAAAAAATTATTTTTAATTATTATTTCTTTAAAAATCTGACAACTGCTTATCAATAATTCTGGTTATCAAAAGCTCAATCTATGTATCCAATTTTAAATACATGTACTGTAAACCAACTTTTATTCGTGTGAGAAAAATTTTCACGAGAGTCTTGTCATCGCGAATATTTCTCGCTGCGAACCAGTCCTTAAAGTCTGTATCTATTAACAACAGATCAAAGCTTGATCGTGAAAATTAATCCTTGCGATTTAGTTTACCCCTACCCCGGTAAATCGCGAAATAAAGTTGTCGCGATAAAAGTTGGTTTACAGTACCCTTATCCCCCTCCCACTCTTGCTATATCAACATCAGCCTCGTATAAATCATAAATGTAGATCTGCTAAACATAGTACATGTACTTAACATAGTACTAACTGGTACATCATAATACTTTGAAATTAAAATGGTCAACATGTTTAACTTTTAATTCTTTGTCCAAGCAAATTGTTGAAATAAATAATTTCTGGTAAATTCTTTTAATTTTATTGCAACAATCTGTCTTTTTGTAAAACAAATGTAAATTTACTTTTATTAAACATATGTGTACTATGATTAAGATTGTTGTAGCAAAATGCCCAGATTCACATGTGGCAAAATTTATAACCACTTGATGCAAAAATGTAAGAGGAGGGGGGGGGCACCCTTTATAGATTTATGTGTTGATTGTAAAATTTGAAATTCTCCCAACATTTTAAATTCATTAAGATTGTAAACCCTATATAAAATGCAATTTTGTCAATTTAGGAATTATGTTTTTTTATGTTTGATGTCTTATTTTATACTATGAATGTGAAAAAAGTTATCTCCCCTGGAAAGCATTTCTTAATATACCATGGATATAAATGTTGTAGCATGTAGCTATAAGTCTATGATTAATAAAATGTACTTTGAGACCAGACTTCTGATAAATATACCAGAAAAGAAAATGATGAAGAAAATATAAAATTTTATGCAATATTATGAACTAATTGTGATTAAAAGGGTATAATGAAATATGAGATTCAGATTACAATGCCAAGATGACAGTTTACACATTTTTCACAGACAACTTACTGACAAGATTCATCTCTATAATGATCCAGATTTGCCACAAAATACCCTTTAAATGGTAGAGAATATCACCTATCAAACTAGATCTAAAAGAAACTCATTATGTTGCTCCTCTCACCAATGACAGTAAAATTCATCAAAAGAGCAAAATCATTGTTCTTATAATATAGATTAATAACTGGATTAGAGTCTGTGCTTATGATCTCAATATCATGTACTGATTGGAAACTTTTTCTACAACATTTGATGAAATAAATATCATCATAGTACAGTATGTATCCATCAAGTGCCTCGATCTCAAGAACTCACTTTAAATCTCTTAAAATTACAATTCCCATGACTTATGTAATCATTAACCTTGCTTTTTAGTGAAATGTCACAAAGCGAAAAGTAATAGGTAGGTTATTAGGTCTTTCAAAGCTCACAATTTTAACAGTTCAAAGTACAAAAACTCCATTTATTTTCTATTTTCATCTAATATAGGTTTCCTGTTAATTTACCATTTATTGCAAAAAAATTGTATAGGTTAATTGTCATATTATTTAAGATGGGAGACAAAAACAACAGAAATATATGTCAATATAAAAAATTTTTGTTAATGGTATTATAAAAATTATGTAAAAACTGCTTCAAATGCATATAATTCTGATTCTGAAAATCCCAAAATACTTGCTACTTAGAACATGTATAGGATACTTCTGTATTGTGAATAGAAAAAAGTTTTTCTTGTTAGAAGTATAATAAAGAAAATGCATGAATGAATATACCTGAGGAGTTATTGCCCTTGTCATCATTTTTGAAAGATTGAATTGATTAAATAAAGGAAATATATTTTAAATTCTATTCTATTACTTAACAATATTTATCAGTACATCTATTGAAAATCATTCTTCCAAAAGATATTGTTCTATTGGGTTATGAATTCAAACAGTTTTTGCAAAATCATATGACATCATAGGAGGATGGAAATACCTTAAATGCCTTTGGTGTATGGGTTTAATATTTAAAAAGTGTATGGAAAATTTTAAAAAGTTACTCGCAACACAAATGATTGAGTATTTCAATGAGTTTGTACAGATTCAAACTAGTTTTCATGTTTGTCTATTTTTTTTTAAAAGAAGGGGTGGGCCAGCATTATATTATATTAACAAAGCTAGGTTACATAGGGCAAAAATGTCTTTTCAAGTGGAATATGTAAGGAAATAACTATTTTAAGAATTTTTTTTCAATAATATTAATTACTTGTTTATTTTTTTAAAGCTCTAATAATTGAATCAATTCATGATCAAAATTACTTGCTTTTATTTTCAGCACACTAATATTTGTATCAACTTAGGTTGAAATCTATTTCCATGCAAGAACGATTTATTTTTTCACATTTTTTTTTAATGTTTAGAAATACCTTCATAGTCCATGATCAGGAAAGCCCACAACTATTAAGGTCAATAAAATAAGAAAAAGATGGCCTACCTGTGAACAGCAGAGACATAGTTTTTACTTACGAATCCCAAGGGAAGGTAAGAAGATTGTAGAAGATTTCCGGGATCCCCTCATATAACTTCAATGTCTCCTCATTAAACTCTCCAAATTATCTTCCAAAACTTCAAAAAGACCCTCCTCTAAAAACTTTAACAAGTAAAAGTTTTGATAATGTTCTTTCAAGTGTGTATTTGTGTTTTTTATTTTTGTTATGTCTAAAATACATAAGTAGATCAATTATATCTAATGACCATTTAAGTGATCCCTGCCCCCTCCCTGAGTTGTTTTTGTTGGACAATTACAGAGGTGATTATATGATTAAAGAGACATCAATAATTCAATTAATTGGAGCATCAAATGCCCAGCATGTGGCAGGAAGATTAAAATTTCACACTTTCTGGACTGCAACAAGGTTACCAACTATCTACCTGACTGTTCATAATTAACATTGTTAAAAGATCAAAGGCACAACAGATGGAAAGTTTACACAAGGAAGTGTGTAGAAATGAGACTCTAGTGTTTGTTTAGAGCAACATATGTTTACACAGGGTTAAATTATTTATGTAGAAATGACCTTGAGTGAATTTCTTTACATTTATAAAAAAAAAAAA